TTTTTTTTTTTTTTGTTATTCTTAATATCGTCTTCATATATTTTTTTTTTTTTTTATTGTTTCACCGTTTGTGATTCTTTGTACCTCTTGTTATTTTTTTTTTTTACGTGATATTACAGGTGTGTTCAGTTAAGCAGTGATTGGTGCCAGGTTGTTTCCTTCATTCTTATTGTCACTTTTCTCCATTTCTTTTCTTTTTCTTTTATTTATTTTATAAATCTTATTTTATTCGTGATAGCTGAGTCTGTGTGTGTGTGTGTGTTTGATAGGGCGAGAGGGAGGGGCATTTTATTATTATTATTTTTATTTAGTGTATTTCTAATGAGCACACTTGAGAGCCGGATTGCGGCGCTGTTATCTGTGCTATCAGAGGGTGAGAATGCTGTGCAGTGTCCACTCGCCATTTTCGCACACGGCCTGCGTGAGTCCTATTGGGCACAAGTACATCATGCAAACGGTGGTACGGACGTTGGCAGCAGTAATATGAATAACAACAACAACAACAACAACAACAACCACGCACCTGATTTAAGTGATGTGTTGGCGGAGCGTTCACTGGCGTTATTGCGTGAGGAGGAGGCTATATCAAGTGACGAGGCTGCCCTGCGTGTGGCGTATGATAAGTTGCGAGCGGAGATGGCCCGCGTGGAGGCGCAGCTGCAGTCGTTTGAGCGCCGATCGCGGGAGTTGGCGCAGCAGAAGGCCTTCTGCAAACTGGCGATGAATCTCCTCGTGACGGGGGAGGTGCCGGAGTTCTACACCCCCGACGCGGAGTTCGTCGTTGGCGCCCCCCGCGAGGACAGCGACCCCACGCCGGAAAATGCCGCCAACACGACCGTCGATGGAAGTGAGGCGGTGCCGGAGGTCGCCCCCATGAGCTCCGGCTCACCAAAGCGAACACGACGAAGTACATCTATGCCAAAACACCAAAAACAAAACAATCACCAACCACAACAACCATCACAACAAAATACAGGAAGTGGGGGAAATTCAAGAAGTCAAGACTTATCTGCGTCTGTGGAAAAAGATAGCAATCATGTATCTGAAGGTAGTATTGGGAGTAGAGACAGAAATACACAATACCCATTAGCATCAGAAAATACACCCCTTTCTTCGCGTAATAGTACTCGATCAAGCCCAACAGGAAGTGCACTTTTAGCTATGTTGCGTCTTCCTGATGTAAAAGAGACAACACTTTTGCATGCACTTGAAAGTTTTGATGATCATTACTTTCGTAGACCTTTAAACTGGACAAAAGAGCAGTTACAAGAGTTACAACAAGTTTTTATTGGTCTTCTCAAACATCTTCCACAACCACGCCCACCTATTCAAATTGCAGAGTTACGAATACTTGGACATATTTTTCGTGCATCAACAGGCATAAATCATGCCACATCCGATCTTACATCTCCTTCTAATCATCCATCACCATTTTCAAGATTATCAGATTCTGCTATTATGCCAATGTTACATGCATTACTTCATGAAGGTCATGCTGTTGCAACACTCACACGTCTCCTTCAAAGTGTTAATGATGACGTGAAGTTTGAAGTACTAGAATGTCTTTCCCCTCTTATCATTAACTCAAATTCGCAGCACACGCATTCCAACAACGGTAAGAACAATATGCATAACAGCAACAACAATACTAATAATAATAACAACAACAAGAACAGTGGTGGAACTGTATCAGATGCACGAAAAGAGTTCATTGCAGCAGGTGGACTTCAACCTTTAGTGAATATTGTAGCATCATGTACTTCTGAAGCGGTGTTGGAACGTTCACTTGTGCTTCTTTGGGGTCTTCTTGCCCGTAATGATGACGAGGCGAAAGTACGTGCAGAAGTACGTCGCCTTGGTGGATTACGAGCGGTGCTTGATCTCCTTTACACTGATTCTATTCCTATTCTTGAGAATGTTGCCATGACGATTGGTTATATTACACGTGAGGAGACGGCGAAGATTGATATTCGTGAGGCAGGCGGACTTGAAAAGATAACTGCAACACTGCGACACCCGTATGAATCTATTCAAACAAAAATGGCAGGCGCCGTGTGGAATTGTGCCAGTAACGCAGAAAACAGAGCTTACTTGCGACATATTGGTTGCATCCCTGCTTTGTTAGAATTGCTTAGTTCGCCGTATGAGTTTGTACAGGAAAATGCAGCCGGAGCATTATGGAATCTTAGTGTTGATCCAGAAAATAAAACTCAAATTCTTGATTACGGTGGTATTGCAGAACTTGCACAATTAATTGCTAAAAGTAGTAGCGTAAGTGTGGTAGAAAATGCCTCTGGTACACTTTGGAACTGTAGTGCTGCAGTAGAAACACGTCCAGCTATTCGTAAAGCAGCTGCTATTCCAATTTTACTTGGAGTTCTTAATCGAAAGTCCATTAAAGAACAACAACATAGTGATCTTTCAACTGGTAAAGAACGTTCTGCAACTCTTCCTATAAGCGATAAGATACTTGATAATGTAGCTGGTACACTTCGTAATTGTGCTATTAATGATCAAAACAAGCCAGCCATTCGTGAAGCTGGTGGTGTAGAGTTACTTCTTGGGAAACTTAAACAAGGAATTCTGCAACAACCACTCTCTATTCCAATGCCAACACTTGATAAGATGTCATCTACATTGTGGATTCTTACCATCTCTCCAGAAATTAAACACAGTGTACGATTAAGTGGTGGTATTCCATTATTAGCTAAAATACTTGAAGCATCTTCTTCTACGGCAGCAAAGAAATCTTCCAGTTCTAATTTTGTACAACTGTCGATGAGTGTAAAAGAAAAAATTGTTGGTATTTTGCGTAATTGTTCAACCGTTCAAGAAAACCGACCGGCTATGGTTGCTGCAGGTGTTGTACGGGCTTTAGTTCATGTTGTGGAGGATTGCTACATTACAAATGATACCAAAACGAGTACCAAACAGTTATCCTCTTCATCAACCTCTCAACCACCACCACCACCACCACCACCACCACAACAACAACAACAACCATCTCTACAACTTAAAGAGACTGTAGCATCTGCATTATGGTATCTCTCTCGTGATGATAAGGTTGCACCACGTGAAGAGGGTGGTCTTGAACTCCTCTGCCGTTTATTACAAGAGGAAGATCAACCTTCTGTTGTCCTGGAACAGGCTGCAGGAGCACTCTCTTCGCTTACTGTAAATAGTCAAGAAAATCGTATTAAATTACGTGAATATGGTGGACTTCATGCACTTTTGCGACTTATTCAAGTAAAGGCTCCGCTTGCCTTCCCACAGAATACACCAAATGGCAATGGTGGAAAAACTACTTTTTCATCTTCCACTACTGGACGTTCAGCAGGTGTTAACAGCATCAACAGTTCCAGCAAGATGGATGGTACTGTTTCGCATACATATGCCGTATTAAACGCACTTCTAGCCATCCGTAATAGCAGTTCCTCAAATGAAGATAATCTACGCTGCGTCGCTGAGTGGCGACATCCACAAACGGGTGAGGGAGTATCATCATCTTCCTCCACATCCGCATCCAATTCCACCTCTCCCTTTACCGCATCCTTGTTGTATATTATACAGTATGGATCAGAGGACTGTGCACGGGAGGCCGCACTCTGTGTGAAGAATCTCTGCGGTCATGCCAAGGCATTGGATTCACTGCTGCAGCAAGATGCCGTAGAAGTGTTGGGCGGCCTTGCGGAACGAGGCTCAACAGATTCCGTACGACGAGCAGCAGCGATGACATTGCACTCTCTCGCACGAGCACAAAGACGATAGAGATTAAGATGTTCAAAAGGAATTGATAGAGCATATTAGCTTTATGAAGAAGAAGAAAAAAAAAAGGGGGAAAAAAAAAAGAAGTTGTAAAAGTAGAGCGACATACCCAATGATGTTGACCTATTTGGAGGATAAACGAATAGTGGTAGTTGTACTTGTAGAGCTCAAAGAGTGTCTTGAAAAACTGTTTTCGTTGTAATTGTTACGGCTGCAGATGTTTTTTTTTTTTTTTTTCTGTAAAAATTTTTTTTTTTATTTTTATTTCTGGTGATGGCACGATTGGAGTGAAATAGAGATATCGAAACTTGTAATATTGCTTATGGTTTTCAATCTTCTATATTTCCTCCGGTGCTGTGGTGTAAAAGGGGCAGAACATCAACCAAAAGATAAACAAAAAAAAAAAAAGAATATGTTGGGCGTGAGTGCGGCTTTTTTTCTTATTCTGATGTGCTGTGAGTTGAATAAAGGTGTGCCATATTTTTCACGCTTGTGTTGTATCATTTCTGTAGAGAACGATAGAAAATCCGAAAGAAAAGAAGAAATAAAGAAAAAAAAAAGAGAAGAGAAGAGAAGAGAATAAAACGGAGTCTACTCTTTGTACCTGCGCACAATTAATGAAATGATACAAATATCTTGTTTCATACAAGAATGAAAAACGGAAGTAAAATTGGAGGGAAAAAATATGCCGATAGATATTCAAACAACGAAGGAAGGAAAAGGAAAGAAAGAAGAAAAGACGTGAGAAGGAGATATGAGGAAACGAAGAAATAAAAAAAGAGACAAGGAAAAATCAATGATTGGAATTGGTAATGGGAAAAAGAAATGTACCTCGCTTATAAACCAACATAAGTAGATGTTTCCTTAAACTTGAACTTATCTGAACCTTTGCTTAACCATCATATTTTGGTTTTTTTTTTTTTCTTCCGCTTTTTTTCTTTTTCATTGTTGTTATTATTATTGTTGTTGTAGTAGTTGTTGTTGCGCCTCTATTATTGGTTTTAGTATCATTATATACATATATGCGTATATTTGTATGCTCTGTGGTATACTAGTACAAATACATGAAAACTCCTTCTGTCATTTTTTTTTTTTT